ACGAATTGCCTCTCTCGTTGAATCATTTCGAAGACACTTGCAAAAGAAAGAAATCAGAAATCCATTTTCCTATACGATTTTTATTAAAAAAATTCCCACATAAAAGTTTAATAAGGGAAATAAAAGATTTTAATTTTTGGCTTCTGTCCCTGATTGGTTCATTTTCTGAATAGCTAAGTGTTCTTTAACGTTTGCCAGAGACGTACACGAGCGTTGATTACTGAGAGAGAGAGAGAGAGAGAGAAATAGCAGAAGGCTTTCAATGTTCACCAGCTCGTGTCAGAACCATCGATCAGCCAAATCGAATCGAATCGAGTCGAGGCTATCAAGTTTTACTCGAAAGGGTCGGCGTTACCTCACAGCCGGAATTAATTGCTTCGACTAATATGGTTGCTTTAAAAGATCGATCCTTTCTCATTCATTCTACAAATTATAATCTCATTTCTCAAACTCTCATAATTCCTTTTTTCAAACTTTCATAATTCCTTTTTTCAATTATTATATAACAACAAAATTTCAGACTGCAGATTTTTATACAAAATTCTACTCTCTGTAGCTTCGAATATTTTGCAAATTTCTATCACATCCATTGTTTAACTTTCATCTAAATGTAAAATGTACTGCAATCTAATTACGTTGTTTGCATTGTAACGAATTGCTAAAGCGAAGCAGATTGAAGATTATTTATACAGAAATTCCTTTTGACGTTCTCATTAGATAAAGTTGCATACCTGAAAGCATGGGAGTACGCATTTTATGTATAAAGCGAATATGTAACGAACATCTGCAAGCTCTCTTCTATAACGAGTTGTTTGCCTCAGTTAAAGAATTCAGTAGCGACACTTTGATTAAAAATACGAACGAATTTTTTTTCTTTCTCGTTGAACAATTACGTTTAGCGAATCGAGTAATTACTCTCCATTGTCACGCGACGCTTTCAGGCGTTAATGACGCGGAAAATTATTTCCTAGCAATTATTATAGTTCCGCTAGGTCGTGAATTTATTATACATTGCATTATAATATTATTAATATTGTGGGTTCTGTTCTGTTTCAGCGCCGAACGTTTGTTTGACGGAGGAATGCGTCAGAACAGGTAATAATACAAGATCGCATCGATTTCTGTTACTAACTAATTCAAATGCGTCGCGGTTTCGGTCCGATGGGAAATGGCCAACGGAAAATTGCATTGCGAGTTTATAGGAATCGATATCGTTATTATTCATCTCGAAATTCTATCCTTGAAAATATTCACTCATCCTAGCATAATTTCTGCGTGAAACAAATCTCAAGATCAGAATTACCTGTTAACAATTCCAAAGAAAATCAATATAATTATTATTCATCTCGAAATTTTATTCTTGAAAATATTCTCTCATCGTGGCATAATTTCTATGTGCAACAAATCTCGAGATCAGAATTTTCTGTTAACAATTCAAGAGAAAATCAATATAATTATTATTCATCTCGAAATATGAGAATATTCTCTCATGCTGGTATAATTTTTATCTGAAACGAGTCTGAATTTCGTTTCGCATAAATCGTGCTATTGCGTAAAGAATAAGAATCGTTGGAGGCGAGGAAATATCGTTGGGGAATATTCGACGCAGCAAATGGGATCGGATCGGAGCACCGAGGCCGGAATTGCGTTTGACCCGCGATAAACGCGTGCCGCAGCAGGCTGGATGCCCTCGCGCACACACGACTCCGCAAATCGGATTAAATCTTCCTCCTCTCCCGTGGCAATTGCCCAGAGACCGGCTGACTGCGATTCGATTTTCGTTACTCCGATGGACTCCGACACGATGACGATAGGCCGGTTTAATTTGCCCCATTTCGATTATTTATTTGCCACCCAGGAGAGTTCGTCGGTAATTACCAAATTTTCTGAACAGAGTTAAAAAACCGAGGAATATTAAAAAAAAATCTATCGCAATTGGACTAACTTTGAGAATTTTAATCCCCGTTGTAATTAAATTCCTTGTAATATCGTACAATTACCTTGGCCGTCGGGCTCAAAACGAAGCGGCTTAAGCGGTAAAAGAGGGATGAGAAGAAAAAAAGGACACTCG